AGAGTCAAGATTTTTTTTTCCATAAACAAAACCAAATGAACATACATGCAGATAATTTTCTTTTTATGTACATTTCGATAAATGATCAGCCATTTTGAAAATACTACTTGCGTATCTAAAAACTTGCCCTTCACTTGATTTGCTATCCTTGTAGAATTTATACACATTGTTATGAACTGTACCTGAGAATCAAGTGGACCCATTATTTCCAGGTCTGGTGTTGCTCATAACAGCTACCAATTTGACACCTTACTGGTACCAATCAAACATAAATCAAGAACAGTTGATGATATTTTGATTGGTACTAAAAAGGCATCAAATTGGCAGTTGATGATAACCTGATGTTTTGTGAATTCCAACTAAATAAATCATATTTCTGAACACAAAACATCTTTAAAATTAATTAACATGCAAGATCTTATAACACATCCCTTCTTGTTTCTTCTGTTAGTTTTAGTAGAAACCAGTATTGCTACTTCAAAATTCTTCATGTCAGACTTTTTACAGAAAATAAAGGGGCATAACTCTTATCGTTATTTAAGCAGACAGATTCTGACCACATTAAAAAAGCATGTTAACAAAAAATTCTGATTCATACGTAGTTAAAAATAGGTGCATCTCGTTATTTTTCATATTCATTCCTGTGTGGCATTCAAATTTATGTCAGTAATATTCCTACAAAATTACGTGTTGTGGTAATACAATAGAATGAAAGCATGCCGGTTACTGCCCACCGGTATCTGTTTCAAATTCATGCACCTAAAAAAATAGGTGCACCTTAATATTTTTCATATTTAATCCCCATGCGGTATTCAATTCATGTCAGTAATACTAATATTCCTACAAAATCAAGTGTTGTAATACGATAGAATGAAAGAGTGCCGACTACTGCTGACTCGTACTTGTTTCAAATTTTGCCGGCAGTAACTGTCGCTCTACGACGCTGAGCAAGTGACATCATCTCCTAAATAATAGAATTTGACTCTAGCATGCGCTTTCGTCTAAGACAATTAAGAGCCACTCCACAAGAAAACCATGCAGAAGATTGAAGGTGGGTGTCGGCCGATTGAGTTTATATTTACAGGGTTTGGTCGACCCATCGAGCCTACTCCCCAGCCAAAATCGCCGATTTTATAAATCAACCTTTTCTGAAATACAGCCCGATTATGTTTTTCGATTGATTTTTGTCATTTTCAGGTCAAATTTCAACCATTTTTGTAGCATTGCTACAGCCGTTAATCGACCAATGGCTAACTATGTTTTGGTTGGTGATTATAGTCTGGGTCTCACCCTACCATATTATAATGGTCACTCAGTGCAACCTCTCTTTCCATAGGTGTGACGAGACTACACAAAATACATGTCTGCAGATACCTGAATTATACCTTTTCTTTAAGTTGCGATAACCCCACTGGAGCAGGGTTTGCGATAAAAATGAAAATCATTTTATTTGCAGCTTGACCTGTTCTAACAACATAAAAAATAAAATCATTGTCAACTAACCTTCAACAGTATAAAAATTTGTGTCAAAAGTTACAAAATTCACTACTTTTTGCGCGATTTTTGGTATCTGAAATTCCCAAGTGGTGATAATTCACCCTTAAATTCCGGACATGTCTTACTCTATTTTCCAAATGTCCAGCTAATCGGACATCAAGATATGGTGAATAATATTGCAAATTTCAAAATTAATATAGTGTACTGAGAGTATAACTACCACTCATTCCGATTATCGTTGATAATAAGCTAGATTCATTAGACAATTAAGTGATCAGCGTATTTATACCGTCTATACACCTACCTTGTTTACCTGCTTAATCTGCCTTGCTTGACTGATTAATTCCTTTTACGGGAAATTCTCATCAATCTTATTTCCAAGTTGCAAAGGATCCAGAATCGTGCTGCACGAATTGTGACTAAAGCCAGATCAAAATCACACATCACTCCCATCTTAAATAATCTTCACTGGCTCCGAGTGAGCGAGAGAATTAACTTTAAAATTTTAACTCTGACATACAAAACGTTACATAAAACAGCACCAAGATATCTTCCGAATCTCTTGAGATCCGAGACTAAATTATTGTTAGATGCACGATTTATAAGATGAAGAAATTTGGTTCAAGGACTTTCCAGAATAATGCATCAATTCTATGGAATTCGTTACCACCTTCCAATGTGAAACATTGTCAATCTTCAAATCAAGTGTGAGAAAACGGCTGTTTAGTCACTATAATTAACCCATGTGAACACTTTCATGCACCTGGAGCATCCCCAAGTGGGATGAACTGTTGCGTAATATAAATTTTGTTATTATTATTAGGGTTTCACACTGCGTAGCTTGTGTGAAACACTATTGTTTTTGTTCGGATTATTAAGCTTTCATATTACATATGAAAGCTTATTGTTTCTGTTAAGATTATTATTGTTATTGTTTTTGTTCGGATTATTATTCTTATTATTACATTGTCAATCTTCAAATCAAGTGTGAAACAAGCCAACAGTGAGGCTGATGTCCCCCGCCGAAATAGGAAAATAATTAGAGGACACATATAAATTTATCACAAATTATCTTTTACAAAGTATTGAACAATCAAACAGTATATCTTTACTTATAGTCTAACAATCAAAGTAGGAGAGTTATTGTTTTCCAAAGTCTCGACCAATCAAATTGCGTATCGCTCTGCTTACCCTGAGCAGAAAATGCTCATTATCAAACTTAGTCAAGGTATTACTGTAATGAAACTATACACCAAGTTTCATCAATCTCACTTAATTAGAACTAAAGTTATCGTGTCCCAAAGCATCAACCAATCAAATTGCTTATCTCTGCTTACCCTAAGCGGAAAATGCTCATCTTCGAACTCCATCAAGGCATTGACCTAATCAACACATACACCAAGTTTGAACATTCTAGCTCAATTAGGAAGAGAGTTATCGTGCCCCAAAGTATCAACCAATCAAATTGCTTATCTCTGCTTACCCTAAGCGGAAAATGCTCATCTTCGAACTCCATCAAGGCATTGACCTAATAAACACATACACCAAGTTTGAACATTCTAGCTCAATTAAAAGTTATCGTGTCCCAAAGCATCAACCAATCAAATTGCTTATCTCTGCTTACCCTAAGCGGAAAATGCTCATCTTCGAACTCCATCAAGGCATTGACCTAATCAACACATACACCAAGTTTGAACATTCTAGCCCAATTAGGAAGAGAGTTATCGTGTCCCAAAGCATCAACCAATCAAATTGCTTATCTCTGCTTACCCTAAGCGGAAAATGCTCATCTTCGAACTCCATCAAGGCATTGACCTAATAAACACATACACCAAGTTTGAACATTCTAGCTCAATTAGGAAGAGAGTTATTGTGTCCCAAAAAGTGTGACGGACAGACAGACGGACGAACCCATTTTAATAGTCCCCTGCTTTCTTCGAAAGGCGGGGGACAAAAATGGCTGTTTAGTCACTATAATTAACCCACGTGAACACTTTCATGCACCTAGAGCATCCCCAAGTGGGATGAATTGTTGCGCAATATAAATTTTGTTATTATTATTAGGGTTTCACACTGCATAGCTTGTGTGAAACACTATTGTTTTTGTTCGGATTATTAAGCTTTCATATTACATATGAAAGCTTATTGTTTCTGTTAAGATTATTATTGTTATTTTTTTTTTGTGTTTTGTCCACAAATCTGATTTCTCAGAATCTAACCATAGGATCGTTCTGAAACTTTTACCTATCCCCCCAAAAATGGGTGGTGGCTGTTGATTAAATATATTTTCAAAACGTTTTACGAATCCGAAATCACCGAATTTTACGAAGGAATGCATTTGACCTACAATGCTGTAACTTTGTGACTATTTGACCTATTTTACTAATTCTTTTTTCTTTGAGTATCTTGAAACATTTACTTCAAATTTGCAATTTCGGATTTTGGCATTTCGAAAATTCGTCGCTGTCATTTCGAACCGGAAGTTATTACCAATTTGACAACTTCTTTAATAGTTGTGCGTTTTTAGTGAAATTTAGAATGTTAGTAGATCTTGCCAATGCGACTTCAATGATGTCCTTGGAAATTTTCTAAATTATCTCCCCTTGGTGAAATTAAGGATCAAAGTTTTCAAAAAAATCGTCGAAATATAGGTCAGAATGACCTAAAAAAAAAATTCGATACTAGACAAGTAATTACTGATTCGTACACAAAATATGGAGTTTGTCGATCGAACCGGAAGTGCCACCATCTTTAAACGTGAAAAATCAAAAAGGCTTTTTTGCTATTTTACTTACAGACTCGGGCGTCATATTTTCGGAATCCTGGAAGGAATGCCTAAAAATCTATCGGATCAGAATTTTGATTTCGGTCACGTGATGGTCACCATTTTGAATTGAAAATGAAAAATAGAAGCAATTTGAAGGGCCGGGACTTTGGAACACAAGAACTCTCCTTCTAATTAAGCTAGAATGTGCAAACTTGGTGTAGGCGTTCACTAGGTCAATGTCATGATTGAGTTCAAAGATGAGCATTTTTTGCCTAGGGTAAGCAGAGATAAGCAAGCTGATTTGTTGATTCTTTAGGGCACGATGACATTGGTTATAATGAATGGAGGGCGATGAAACTCTTGTCAATCGAGAGGCTAATAGCTGGCCTGTTGTGTGAAATCATTGTATCATTTTTTGAAAATGTCCGGGGTAGCCGAAAAAAGGAGATCGAAATCCAAAAAGTCGTATTTTTACGATTTGGGGCATTTTTAGAGGTCGTGTAAAGTAAAATAAAGCATGCATATTCATATATTATTGATATTAAATATATCATATAAAAAACTAAACAATGAATCAGCTGTCATTGACAGATTTTATATTATAAGCATGGTCAGTGGAAGGTCAGCGTATTGTCTAACTTGAACTCACTGACTCCGTAACATTATTGTGGGTATGGTATAAGCTGAATTTGATGAGATGCACATATCTCGTATGACTATTTGGTACTTACAGTGTTAGACTTTGTCGTAACGTAAATCAAATTTACGCTGTATTATTCATTACCAAGGATTTAGAAAGAAACGAGAACAATTATTTACAAAATCTCGCTGGGATAAATTCCGTGAATGTGCCCATGAATGGCTAAAACTTGATGGGCGAGCGAAATGGATAGCTGAACAGGCGACTTCGGGTGATATAATCAAACAAGGAATTTATCGACGCGCCAAAAGATACTGGATTTCACCCAACATGCTACAGGCCTTTTACAGACAAATTCCGAATTGGGTCTGCCCGTAATCGTATAGATAAAGAAAAATTAAAATCCCCGGCTACAATCCAACCAGGGAATAGCGGGAGTGTAGACGATCTGGGACCTAGCTCTCCAAACAAATTACGCTCCTGAAGCAAAAAGAAAGAGTAAATCGGTGCTGCCTGTTGTGTGTATTATATGTAAAAAACGTGACAGATTTGTCACTGTTGGAGAAAATAGGAAGAAGGATGTATTAACACAGACTCAGACCCAAACAGGCTCAGGTAGGCCTAATGTTAATATTATGTTACTTACTAAATTTATAATTATTACTAATAAATATTAAATATATTCATCCTACAGTTTTTAATTATTGTGTTGTTGTTTTTGTTGTAAATGGAATCAGAAGTGCTACTGCAATCACTGTAAAATTGTTATGAAGCTAGCCAGTAAAGCCCTTTACCCCATTTGTTGATTTGGCACAGTCATTGGTTAAAGTGTTGCACATTTGCTTGCACAAGGGATGAAACATAGAGAAGTTAACTTGTTTTTTATTTTCTTGGCCCACTTGTAGGTGCCTTGCTAAGACGATCTGTCTCTAGACCATTTCCGCTCACACAAAGGATCTGAACTAAACCGCATGCCAGAGTTGACCAGCCAGGTACATGTACATGTAGGCCTCAAAGTGACATTCCCTCCCCCACCCTTGAGCACAAACAACATTCAACGCTATATGGTGTATAATTTGTTTGCAAATTTGTTTGTAGGCCAACTGTTGAAAGCTGCTGAATTGAAAGAGGATGAAGATATTTTAAGGCATATCAGAGGGCAAGATTGTGTGGCCATTGAGGTCAGATATCACCAAAAATGTTATAGGCAATATACATGTACTGAATTTCTTAGACAGTTATCAGAAAGGTAAATATTTGTGATGTTTTTTTTATTTGTATTCTCCGCCTTCTTGCCACTGGTATTATTCAAATAAAACTGAACCATGGGTGAGTCCTGAAATTACTATGTTTTTGTCCAGTGGACGTTAAACCGCAATTCTCCTCTCTATCTCTCCTTGTACTGCTAATGCCTTCCTGTCTTCATTAGCTGGTTTCTGCATGAAAATAAGATGTTAACCCCTGTGTAAGTGTCTTTTTCCTCTGTTGTACGAAATTAATGAGAGTAAACCAAGCTCCAGAATTTTGTTTTAATTGTGTACATGTATATGTTTATTTATATTTTTCAGCAAAGATGACTAGCCTTTCGTCGAATATTAAACCACATACAATATATTCTGTGAAGATGTCATAAGAGAAAGAATCATAAATGGCCAGCAAAGTTGTCTTGTACAGAGAGAGAGAGAGAGAGAGAGAGAGAGAGAGAAATGGGGTTTAACGTCCACTCAACACAAACTAGGTCATTTTGGGACTAACATACGGTTTCAATTTTATTTCAATAATTCGCTTGCGCGTATGGGTCTTTAGCAGTGAGAGGAAACCGGAGTGCCCGGAGGAAACCCACGAGGTTGAGAAGACGCCTCTATCTCCATGCCACATACGCTCACACCTGGGATCAAAGCCACAGCCACAAGCCAGAGGTGACCGACCAGCTAGAGGTCGAAGCGCGGCACTCTAGGCCATCCCAACCCCCCTTTCTTGTACAGACCTGTGCATGTGTAGTCAATGTGAAAATGAAAAAAAAACTGTTAAAGAGACCGAATTTGATGTTAATACATTTAGTGACAGTGATGATGATAATGAAGATTAACTTTGATGACATTTGATGTGCAGAGTAACTGTTTAATTTTGATTTTCAATGATTGTTTCACTTTAATAAATAATTTCACAACTGTTCATCCTGTTTTCTAACCTTTCCCTTCATTCCAGCCCAGATACACAATTATTTTTTTTAACTTATATCTACATGTATGTTTGTAATTTGACCATTAATCATATCCGAAATAGTAGTTCACAGCTACATGTACAGTTGTAAAAATACTGTAGTGGCTAATTGAAAGGGAACATGTATGTGGGTTTAGAATGTTTATCTTAGTGGAAAAAAATCATGTGGTTCAATGCTTATAAAGTGCTACTGATCTCCATTATTTCAAAAGCATATCACTCAACTACTGTCAAACATATCCCCTGGCTAGAATATGCTACAAATCGACTCTAGCATGTTCCATACAAGCGATAATTTCTGAGCAAACATCCAACAACCAACCCTAACAGGCCCTTGAGATCCAACAAACAAAATAATTATTGGGCTTGTTTGCCCACACCTGGTCTTATGATTCATACAAGACCTGATAGTCTATCAATTACAGGCATTTGACAGAAAGGGAGATAATTCTTTTTTACCGTTAATGGATTTCCACAATTCTTTATTCACCCATGACATTTGTGTTTTGAGCATTTTTATTTACATCAAAATCTGTCCAATAAACTGTTCATTGCCAAGGATGAAGGCATGAGGTGTTTTACCAACTATTTAATTTTATGTCAACTTCAGAATTGTTAGTACACAAATAGCATTTATTTGACAATTTTGACGAATTTCATCTGGCCCTAAATCAATAAATTGCAAACATTTTGCTTGGAACTCCCAGATTTTGTCTTCCTGGCATCATAAGCTTTCCAAAAATGTATAGTTTTTCTTTTATGGAAGACCGTGTAGCGGAGTTGTGTTTCTAAGCTAGCTAGAAATTTTGGCTGCAGGCCTACACCTCCCAAGCTAAATTTCCCTCATGTCATCCTGTATAGCAAAGGCATATGCCTGTCTTAATTAACCCAGTACTAAACACAATTTACTTGTTTAATTTTTCCAGCATTTTTCAGGATAGCTGATGGGATGCGGGTCAAGTTATGCCACTTGTCTATTTAATTATTTACCAGTGAAAAATCGAATTAACTTCACCAAATTTTTACTCATTATAATGATTTTTTTTTTCTGTTCATATTATTTCTATGACATGTGACAGTGACTGTGAATATGAAAGCTTTAATATCTGCTTAGCAGATCTAGTTATTCTTATTATTACTATTATTTTTCCATTTGAGCATATCTCAGAAACTACTTGTCGGATCGATTCGATGTCTTCGGTTTTACTGGGAAAGTGGGTTTGACTTAAATTTTAAAGCTATTTCTAACGTTCTGCGACAAAGGGAAATGTCCGAAATAAACCGAAGTTGTCGTTTTTTGAAATTTTGCCGTAATGTTATCAATAATTGTCGGATTGTAATATTTGATACATTTTGACATAGCCGGAGACAAGGCACATAGCTACAATTCTTTAGATTTTTTATTTTCGACGAATCTTCGGATATATTAGGTGACAAATTTTGAAAATTTAAATTTTTACGAAAATGCCAAATGGCAACATTTTTTTGTCACCGTATTTTTCCTTGGCCCCCCATTGGCTAATTCAGTTTTTCAGTCCTATATTAATTATTTATTGTTCGATTTGTATATAACAAAGTTCATGTGCTCTGTGGTCCAAAATGTCATTTTTTTTGTTACCGGTACATTTTCCTTTTGGCAATGGAAGTGACGTAAATTTAGCAACCAGCGGCTGCCAGGCAGGATACGCCCACATTTTGCAAGAGATGGATAGAGAACAAGCTAAAAACAAACAGGATTTTTTGTACAATCAGGGGCAATAATCCAGAAAGTTATGGTCTGAAATGCGCAAATATCAAAAGGGACTGAGATCTTTGGGATATAAAGATATGATTTAAGTTTCATCAGAATCTGACAAAAATTGAGACTCCTAGAGGGTTGACAACCTTCGTATTGCATACTTTTACACAATTTGCGAACAAAGAGCGGCCATTTTGTTGGGCAGTTTAATTTCGATTTTCCCGAAATTCAAATTTTAACCTTCATTATGGTGGAATGGTGAAATATTAAAATCGGAAAAAAAATTGTGATCTCTAGAGAATCCTCAAGCTAAAAATGCCATTTTTCGAACAATCAGGGGCTATAATCCTGGAAGATCAAAAGGATCCATGATCTTAGTGTGTAACTGTGATATATTTACACATTTTTTTTAAATCAGATAAAAATTGTGACCTCTACAAGGACCACAAGCTAAAAAACGCGATTTTTCGTACAATCAAGGGCCATAATTCAGTAAGTTACGGTCAGATATGCGTGAATATCGAAAGGAAACAAGATCTTTGGGTTATAAACTTACATTTCCAATTTCAACAAAATCGGATAAAAATTGTGACCTCTATTGGGTCCACAACCTTGATGTACCATATTTTTACGCTATTTGAGAACGAGGGGCGGCCATTTTGTCTGTCAGTTTTTGGCCGATTTTCACAAAATTCGAACTTGGCCATCCTTAGGGTGTAATGGTGATATACTAAAACGATTTCTTAAATCGGATAATTATTATGACCTCTATAGGGTCCACAAGCTAAAAACGTGATTTTTCTTACAATCAGGGGCCATAATTCAGGAAGTTAGGTCTGATATGCACGAATATCGAAAGCAATCGAGATCTTTGGGTTATAAACATACATTTAAAGTTTCATCAAAATAGGATTAAAATTGTGAACTCTATAGGGTCCACAACCTTGATATACCATATTTTTACGCTATTTGAGAACGAACGGCGGCCATTTTGTCTGTCGGTTTTGGGCCGATTTTCACGAAATATGTGCGACCATCGAAAGGAACCGAGATCTTTGGGTTATTAATTTAAATTTCAAGTTTCAACAAAATCGGATAAAAATTGTGACCTCTATAGGGTCCACAACCTTGATATACCACATTTTTACGCTATTTGAGAACGAGGGGCGGCCATTTTGTCTGTCAGTTTTGGGCCGATTTTTAAACTCAGCAGTCCTTTGGGTATAACGGTGATTTACTAAAACGTTTTTTTAAATCGGATAAAAATTATGATCTCTATAGGGTCCACAAGCTAAAAACATGATTTTTCGTACAATCAGGGGCCATAATTCAGGAAGTTACGGTCCGATATGCACGAATATCGAAAGCAATCGAGATCTTTGGGTTATAAACATTCATTTAAAGTTTCATCAAAATAGGATTAAAATTGTGAACTCTATAGGGTCCACAACCTTGATATACCATATTTTTACGCTATTTGAGAACGAACGGCGGCCATTTTGTCTGTCGGTTTTGGGCCGATTTTCACGAAATTTGAACTTAGCCGCCCATTAGGGTGTAACGGTGATATAATAATACATTTTTTTAAATCAGATAAAAATTATGACCTCTATAGGGTCCACAAGCTAAAAACACTATTTTTCGTACAATCAGGGGCCATAATTCAGTAAGTTACGATCCGATATGCGCAAATATCGAAAGGAACCAAGATCATTGGGTTATAAACATGCATTTCAAGTTTCATCAAAATCGGATCAAAATTGTGACCTCTAGAATGTCCACAAGCTAAAAATGCGATTTTTCGTACAATCAGGGGCCATAATCCATGAAGTTATGGTCCGATACATGCCAATATTGAAAGGAACTGAGATCTTAGGGAGATTAAGCTATATTTAAATTTTCGTTGAAATCGGATAAAAATTGTGACCTATAGAGTGTCCACAAACAAATTGTGGACGGACGGACGGACGTCCGGACGGAAAAACTGGGGCGACAATAATATACGTCCACATGAAAATGTGGGCGTATAAAAACTGCAATTTTGACAGTTCAGTACCACTTTTAGAAAACAAATATTATTTTTTTCAAATCTGGTATGACTGAAAGGGTGTGCCCTGTTAAGGCGCAGAAATCATCGCACTCAGTTTTTTAAATTTTTATTCAGTTTTCGGATCATTTAGATTTAAAGGTGAAAAAAGGTGAAAAAATGAGCTATTCACAACCCATTCAGGCTTTACATATTTTAAAATATTTCTTCGCAACTTTCATAAACTAGTAGCAATAATCCAAACGAAGAGAATGTATGTGAAAATTAGTTTGTAATATGAGCAGTTGCCGAGAAATGGGCAATTTTGCATGAGTCACTTTTTACGCTAGTTTGCCTGTAAAAGAGTCAATTATTATTCGATTTTCATAAAAGTGACACCATTTGATGCGTAATGTCAATTTTAACTAGGTCAAACCAATTTAACATTTTCAATGTCACCGGAAATGACGTAATTTAGGCAAAAATTGTATTTATAGCCTTCAAACCAGTAATTTATTCAAATGCGTCGTATTTGTTATTTGTTTAAAATTTTGATATTTGATTCCAATCAACTAATAGAATGAACCGATACGATCATATAGATATCACAAAATGGTTTCTAACTTGTTCAGTTGCGGAGAAATAGATGATTTTCAACAGGTAACTTTTCAAGGTTTTTGGTCCATAAAAGTGTCAATTATTATTTGACTTTCATAAAATTTCCAGTGTGTGATACCTAATGCCATTTACGATTTTATACAAGTAATTTAACACTTTAACTGTCACCGGAAGTAACGTCATTTTGGCAAAAACTGTATTTTTAGCCTTCAAAACAGATATTTTATTCAAATGAGTCTGATCTGTATTGTTTTTAAAATCAACAAATACCACACGATCATACAGATACCAAAAAATGGTTTCTAACTTGTACGTTTGCAGAGAAATAGCCGATTTTCTACAAACAAGTTACTTTTCAAGGTTTTTGTTCTATAAAAGTGGCAATTATTATACGATTTACATAAAATTTTCACCATGTGATGCCTTATGCCATTTATGATTTCATAAAACTAATTTAACATTTTCATTATCACTGGAAGTAATGTAATCTTGTCAGGATCACTTATATGTAACAAATGTATACAATGAATTGATATTGCTGGATTTGGTTGATTCTGCGTACATTTTA